GATGTGCATTTAGCAGGCATAGTTTAAGCATAAATTCATGCTGTTTTTAATGTATTAAATTGTTCATAACACTTCACCAATTTAATTAAATTGACTTTTCTATATACTAACGGCTTGACGTATTTTTGCATAACATACAAATGACATTCATTGAATTTAAATTTGAAAAATCCGTTATAAATACGTTATATATGTGATTTGCATCTTTATGTTAAGAATCCACACGTTATGAAGTAGAAATGGTACAGATAAACACAAAATCTTTACGAGTGATTTTAAATGTACTTTACTAATGAATGTTTTAAAAAACACAGAAAACGCACATAATTGAAGTTCAAGACATTTTTTTGAAGAGTTTTATGTGTTTCCAGGTATGACTTAAATTATAAAAACGAATATAAAATTTTGACAGTCGTTACTAATTACCCATTAAAAACTGGGAATATATTAACAGTTGAACAAAACGGAGTGAAGTTCAACACACCTGTAACCTATGAACCTACTGTAATCTATAATTTGATTTGTTGTGGTCGAAATTCGATTAAAAGATTGAGACTAAAAAGTAGCAAATAAAAAAACGTTAAAAAAAAAATTTTTAAAAAACACGCTTTTTTCCCGAAGACTAAAAAACAAATAACATTTTTTTTCTTGAAGTTAAGTCTGTTGTTAAGAATAAAAACCAAGCGACCAAAAAAGGAGCAAATAAAAAAATGTTAAAAAAAACTTTTTAAAAAACACGTTTTTATCAAAAAGATTAAAAACCAAAAACTTGAAAATAAAATTTATTTTAATTAAAAGTTTTCTTGTGACATCTAGAAATGTAACATAAATTTTTTCAAAATATTGTGATTAAGTCCAAGAACACAATGACTCTAAAAGCGTGGGGCGTAATTTAAGAATAATTTCCATTCAAATCAACTAGGTTATGAAATTTTTGATACTATTTTTTATTATTATTACACGCTTTTTATTGAGTTGCTCTGTTGGTTTCTTTGTATGTCACGTTCAAATCTTGCAATCGATTTTTCGACCACTTCTATTGCTCCAATCGAGCTCAAATTTTGTTTACACACGTATTCCCGGTGACAATACAATATTTTAACACTTTGGAAACACAAAAATGCTTAATTATAGTACAATTTATGTAAAACTTTTCTATATGGGAAAAAATCCAATGTCAATGATATAAAATTTTGATTTGTATTAAATATTATACTTGTGATGCTCTAAAGTCATTTATATGATTCATTATAGTTTAATTAATATTACAAATTATTAATTATACCATAAATTTGAGCAGCTAAAGATATTCTGGTAAGACAAAAAAATTGACATGTAATTTTTTTATGAATATTCGTAAGTGAAAATTTGAATTTTCAAAAAAACCGTTAAGCACAAGTCCGTTACAAATTAATGCAAAATAACTATTAATATGCGATGTGCATTTAGCAGGCATAGTTTAAGCATAAATTCATGCTGTTTTTAATGTATTAAATTGTTCATAACACTTCACCAATTTAATTAAATTGACTTTTCTATATACTAACGGCTTGACGTATTTTTGCATAACATACAAATGACATTCATTGAATTTAAATTTGAAAAATCCGTTATAAATACGTTATATATGTGATTTGCATCTTTATGTTAAGAATCCACACGTTATGAAGTAGAAATGGTACAGATAAACACAAAATCTTTACGAGTGATTTTAAATGTACTTTACTAATGAATGTTTTAAAAAACACAGAAAACGCACATAATTGAAGTTCAAGACATTTTTTTGAAGAGTTTTATGTGTTTCCAGGTATGACTTAAATTATAAAAACGAATATAAAATTTTGACAGTCGTTACTAATTACCCATTAAAAACTGGGAATATATTAACAGTTGAACAAAACGGAGTGAAGTTCAACACACCTGTAACCTATGAACCTACTGTAATCTATAATTTGATTTGTTGTGGTCGAAATTCGATTAAAAGATTGAGACTAAAAAGTAGCAAATAAAAAAACGTTAAAAAAAAAATTTTTAAAAAACACGCTTTTTTCCCGAAGACTAAAAAACAAATAACATTTTTTTTCTTGAAGTTAAGTCTGTTGTTAAGAATAAAAACCAAGCGACCAAAAAAGGAGCAAATAAAAAAATGTTAAAAAAAACTTTTTAAAAAACACGTTTTTATCAAAAAGATTAAAAACCAAAAACTTGAAAATAAAATTTATTTTAATTAAAAGTTTTCTTGTGACATCTAGAAATGTAACATAAATTTTTTCAAAATATTGTGATTAAGTCCAAGAACACAATGACTCTAAAAGCGTGGGGCGTAATTTAAGAATAATTTCCATTCAAATCAACTAGGTTATGAAATTTTTGATACTATTTTTTATTATTATTACACGCTTTTTATTGAGTTGCTCTGTTGGTTTCTTTGTATGTCACGTTCAAATCTTGCAATCGATTTTTCGACCACTTCTATTGCTCCAATCGAGCTCAAATTTTGTTTACACACGTATTCCCGGTGACAATACAATATTTTAACACTTTGGAAACACAAAAATGCTTAATTATAGTACAATTTATGTAAAACTTTTCTATATGGGAAAAAATCCAATGTCAATGATATAAAATTTTGATTTGTATTAAATATTATACTTGTGATGCTCTAAAGTCATTTATATGATTCATTATAGTTTAATTAATATTACAAATTATTAATTATACCATAAATTTGAGCAGCTAAAGATATTCTGGTAAGACAAAAAAATTGACATGTAATTTTTTTATGAATATTCGTAAGTGAAAATTTGAATTTTCAAAAAAACCGTTAAGCACAAGTCCGTTACAAATTAATGCAAAATAACTATTAATATGCGATGTGCATTTAGCAGGCATAGTTTAAGCATAAATTCATGCTGTTTTTAATGTATTAAATTGTTCATAACACTTCACCAATTTAATTAAATTGACTTTTCTATATACTAACGGCTTGACGTATTTTTGCATAACATACAAATGACATTCATTGAATTTAAATTTGAAAAATCCGTTATAAATACGTTATATATGTGATTTGCATCTTTATGTTAAGAATCCACACGTTATGAAGTAGAAATGGTACAGATAAACACAAAATCTTTACGAGTGATTTTAAATGTACTTTACTAATGAATGTTTTAAAAAACACAGAAAACGCACATAATTGAAGTTCAAGACATTTTTTTGAAGAGTTTTATGTGTTTCCAGGTATGACTTAAATTATAAAAACGAATATAAAATTTTGACAGTCGTTACTAATTACCCATTAAAAACTGGGAATATATTAACAGTTGAACAAAACGGAGTGAAGTTCAACACACCTGTAACCTATGAACCTACTGTAATCTATAATTTGATTTGTTGTGGTCGAAATTCGATTAAAAGATTGAGACTAAAAAGTAGCAAATAAAAAAACGTTAAAAAAAAATTTTTAAAAAACACGCTTTTTTCCCGAAGACTAAAAAACAAATAACATTTTTTTTCTTGAAGTTAAGTCTGTTGTTAAGAATAAAAACCAAGCGACCAAAAAAGGAGCAAATAAAAAAATGTTAAAAAAAACTTTTTAAAAAACACGTTTTTATCAAAAAGATTAAAAACCAAAAACTTGAAAATAAAATTTATTTTAATTAAAAGTTTTCTTGTGACATCTAGAAATGTAACATAAATTTTTTCAAAATATTGTGATTAAGTCCAAGAACACAATGACTCTAAAAGCGTGGGGCGTAATTTAAGAATAATTTCTTAATTCAGCTAAGTTCTTAAGTAAGAGAAGCGTCAAATCTTAAAGCCCCACGCTTTTAGAGTCATTGTGTTCTTGGACTTAATCACAATATTTTGAAAAAATTTATGTTACATTTCTAGATGTCACAAGAAAACTTTTAAAATCCTGATTCGCTAAAAGTGTGATCTTATTTTATTTTCAAGTTTTTGGTTTTTATTACTACGTTTTTCTTAACTTGCTTTCTTGTTTGTTTGTTTGTTTGTTTGTTTGTTTGTTTGTTTGTTTGTTTGTTTGTTTGCAAAAAATTTCAAATCTTGCGATCAATTTTTCGACCACTTCTACTGCTCCAATCGAGCTCAAATTTTTAATGCACATGTATTCCCGGTGACAATACAATATTTTAACACTTTGGAAACACAAAAATGCTTAATTATAGTACAATTTATGTAAAACTTTTTTATATGGGAAAAAATCCAATGTCAATGATATAAAATTTTGATTTGTATTAAATATTATACTTGTGATGCTCTAAAGTCATTTATATGATTCATTATAGTTAAATTAATATTACTAATTATTAATTATACCATAAATTTGAGCAGCTAAAGATATTCTGGTAAGACAAAAAAATTGACATGTAATTTTTTCATGAATACTCGTAAGTGAAAATTTGAATTTTCAAAAAAACCGTTAAGCACAAGTCCGTTACGAATTAATGCAAAATAACTATTAATATGCGATGTGCATTTAGCACACATAGTTTGAGCATAAATTTATGCTGTTTTAAATGTATTGCATTATTTATAACACTTCACCAACTTAATTAAATTGACTTTTCTTTTTATTAACGGTTTGACGTATTTTTGCATAACATATAAATGATATTCATTGAATTTAAATTTGAAAATCCGTTATAAATACGTTACATATATATTTGATTTGCATCTTTATGTTAAGAATCCACACGTTATGTAGTAGGAATGGTTCGGATAAACACAAAATCTTTACGAGTGATTTTTAATGTACTTTACTAATGAATGCTTTAAAAAAATTAAATTTTATAAAACGAATGAAAAATTTTGAAAGTCGTTACTAATTTCCCATTGAAAACTGGTAATTTATAAACAGTTGAACGCAACGAAGTGAAGTTCAACACACCTGTAACCTATAAACCTACTGTAATCTATAAACAGTTGAACGTAACGAAGTGCAACGAAGTGCAACGAAGTGAAGTTCAACACACCTGTAACCTATAAACCTACTGTAATCTATAAACAGTTGAACGTAACGAAGTGCAGCGAAGTGAAGTTCAACACACCTGTAACCTATAAACCTACTGTAATCTATAAACAGTTGAACGTAACGAAGTGCAACGAAGTGAAGTTCAACACACCTGTAACCTATAAACCTACTGTGATCTATAAACAGTTGAACGTAACGAAGTGCAACGAAGTGAAGTTCAACACACCTGTAACCTATAAACCTACTCTAATCTATAAACAGTTGAACGTAACGAAGTGCAACGAAGTGGAGTTCAACACACCTGTAACCTATGAACCTACTGTAATCTATAAACAGTTGAACGTAACGAAGTGCAACGAAGTGAAGTTCAACACACCTGTAACCTATAAACCTACTGTAATCTATAAACAGTTGAACGTAACGAAGTGCAACGAAGTGAAGTTCAACACACCTGTAACCTATAAACCTACTGTAATCTATAAACAGTTGAACGTAACGAAGTGCAGCGAAGTGAAGTTCAACACACCTGTAACCTATAAACCTACTGAAATCTATAAACAGTTGAACGTAACGAAGTGCAACGAAGTGAAGTTCAACACACCTGTAACCTATAAACCTCCTGTGATCTATAAACAGTTGAACGTAACGAAGTGCAACGAAGTGAAGTTCAACACACCTGTAACCTATAAACCTACTCTAATCTATAAACAGTTGAACGTAACGAAGTGCAACGAAGTGGAGTTCAACACACCTGTAACCTATAAACCCCCTATAATCTTTATTTCTCTATTTCATTAGAATAAGACTAAAAAGTAGAAAATAAAATACTTTATAAAAAAAAACTTTTTAAAAAACTACGTTTTTCGCGTAGACTAAAAAGTAGAAAATAACTTTTATTCTTGGTTGTAAAGAATTTGGTTTTAAATTTTCAGATTATATTTAATAAATTTTTATATCCTAGTCAATATTGTTCACAAAGTTTCGAATAAGTGCACTTTGATCTTATCGTATAACTCAACAACTTAAAAACGTGGGCGCATTATAAGAGGAGAAATAAGTTTATGTGAAATCAATACTTTATGATAAACTTAAATTAATGCGCCCACGTTTTTAAGTTGTTGAGTTATACGATAAGATCAAAGTGCACTTATTCGAAACTTTGTGAACAATATTGACTAGGATATAAAAATTTATTAAATATAATCTGAAAATTTAAAACCAAATTCTTTACAACCAAGAATAAAAGTTATTTTCTACTTTTTAGTCTACGCGAAAAACGTAGTTTTTTAAAAAGTTTTTTTTTATAAAGTATTTTAATCTTTTTGATAAAAGCGTGTTTTTTAAAAAGTTTTTTTTAACATTTTTTTTCCTATAGAATGAATGTGAATGGATCTTATATTAAACAAAACACAAATTAGCACAATTTCTTTTAAGCTTGAATTTTGCATAAAGAAAATAGAAACTGAAATTTGTGAGAAAGTCTCGCTTGTTTTCATCATAACTCGAGATATGTTTTGATTGAGGTTTTCCTTGTCAAATTTTGGTATATGTTTGATACGGTTTCTTGGTATCACAAGATTTAATTTGTGTTCTGAAACCTCAAGTAAGCTTAAGAAAAACATCTCAGTTTACTGTTGACAAAAACTTGAGTTGTTCTTGAGCTTATTAGGGGTTGTTCACTTAATAAAACCGCTTTGAAGGCAGCAAAGAAGTGTTTCTCAAACTTATTAAGATATGGAACAATAAATCTTCAATTTATATTTCTTGCAGACACAGTAGTTGCTTCACATGACGCATCTAGGTATCGCATACAATAATATTGCGCAAAGCACAGTTTGAGAACCCCTGGAGCTCTATGGAAGAGGATCTGTATTCGTGCAATATCTTATTTATGTGGAGGAGATCAAAAACTAGTTTTAGACTAATTTCAATGATAAAGCAAGAGGCCTTAATTTCCAAAATCATGACAGACAACATTATTCTGCATACCCGTTACATAACTCCCATGCAACAACTTATTAAGAATAATTAAAAGTTTCGAAAAATTTAAATAAGAAAATGTTTCACACACTTCCATCAACGTGAGAAGACAAACTTTGTACTTAAGTATTTAATCCGATTTGAGTTCAGCAAAGCAGGTTATTATCATTAATAACAATTCCCCGATAAGAGTCATTGAATATTGTGAATTTTCATTATATTATAATGAAAACACATTCCACCCCTTAATGATATTGAGTATATGCACATTCACACACTTTTCGAGGACTTAAAACATTGTGAGAGAGTCTCTGTTTATATAAACTTTTTAACTTTTCTTTTTCCACATCATTCACATATCAATTTTTATTATTATACAGGCTCAAGGCAAAATTAATAATAAAAGGCGAGGGTTGTAGCTGAACTATTTTTATGTGTGACAACGACCCATTATAATTCTTGTCTATATGGAATGGATAGCAAGGAATGAGGAATATATGGGAATGAAAAATTATCCCACGCTCATCAAAGACTATAGTGTGTATATATAGAAATGAAATAAAGCCCTTCAAGACATGTACGTATGAAGTAATGCGGAATTAAATTTTTGTGTGGAGAATAGCAAGAAGAAAACAGTAAATTTTTTACCCCGATCGTTATGTTGTATTCTTTTCTTTACATTTATATTCACTCATTCTATATATGACAAAGGTAAAAAGAGAGACATTCTTAACATTTTCACCACCTGTCGCTATTACTTTTTTTGTTCAAAAATAATATTGTATATAAAGTAAATTTCTCAAAACTCAATTTTTTTCTTCTTGAACATTATCTTTTAACATCTGATATTCCTCTATGGTATTTTATAGACACAAATTCTTTTGATTTCGAAATTCCTTTGATATCTCTTTCGTGGAGGTTCTGAGATTATTTCTTGATTTTCTTCGCTCTTATCTTGGATTTCTAGTTCAAATAGAAATTGTGTTCACTTTGATGATATTAGTGACTGAAATTGATTCTGTTTTATTGAACTTTCTAGTAAGTTGAAGTAGCCTTGGTAAAGTTTATAATCCGTTAAGGATTTGAATTTAATGAATCTGTTAAGAATTTGAATTTAGGGAATCCGTTAAGAATTCGAATCTACTTTATTCATTAAAATTCAATTTTGAAAAAACCGTTTTAATTCAAATATCAAAAACCGTTAAACTTCAAAAAAATAATGTTCAAAAATCAATTTCAAATTAAATTTCTTAGCTTATAAACAGCGCTGAAAGCACTACTTTATAGTAGATTATCCGCATGCTTTTTCCTCTCCAGTCTCTAAGGGTCCGTTCACTTATTACGTTACGCAATAAAACGACTTTTTTCACCCCCCCCTCCCCCTTGTTACAATATGTTACAACTCACAACCCCCCCCCCCCCCCCCCTCTGAACGTTCATAATTTATTTTATTTTTTTATTATGATAATTTTTCCAATTTTTCATAAATCATTAAAAATGTGGAAAATTTAAAAACATGTTTTTGATGTGAATTTGTAAACAAATATTTTTTTCGTGAACTTTTTTTTAAAAAACAGACGACAGTTTGAACGTTACATACTTCTTGACACCCCCCTCCCCCCCCCCCCCCGCTATGTTACATTTGGTTACAATTTTTCCAACCCCCCTTCCCCCCTAAAATGCGAACGTAATTAGTGAACGGCCCCTAAGGTACACAATGATTTCTTCTACTTTTTAGCTCTCATTGAATTAGATGTTGATGTAAATATTTGTTATGACAACAACTGACTGACTGAGTAGCATCGAAATCAATAACGAGAGAACTGAATTGATTTTGAAATGATATAATGTAGGGATAAAAAGAATGGATTGGCATACTGAAACTTTATGAACCGCAACGATTATTAAAGGATAATTTATTGTCGTCATCCGCGCATCTGAATAATATTAAATTTTGTGTGAAAATTAATAGTCACACAACACTTAACTTTTTTTTTGAATACAATAAAGTTAAATATAGTGTAAAGAGGTGAATTGCAGTCAAAATAAAACCCAAAAAAGTCGTTAAAATATATTTGATTACCATCTGTTTGCATAAACAAGTGATACTTATGCTGGCAAGTAAATGATCTGTTTTCACAGCCAAAAAAAGTTGCTTATAAATTCCAATTGTTAAGCACTTACATTCATCATCAATTATTATGATTATGTATGAATATAAATGTACACATAAGTTGCCAAGCATTTCTATTTATTTTTATAGTCCTCGTTGCTGAGTGCAGACTTTTTTCACATTTTTTTTCTGCTGATTTGACAGTTTATTCCAATTCATTGACTCCATATTTTGCTAATATGGCCCGGCTGGCACCTCATCAGTTGGTCTAATGTGTTTTTTTGGGCACCTGAATCAGCAGTTTTTGGTTCGAAATTTTATTCGTTTTTTAACGGAAAAATGAAATTTGCATTTGAACATTTTTGATTGAATTCTGCAAAGCACAATGATTCAGATTTGAAAAAAATGTTCAAATAATCCTTGTGCATAATATTTTTCAGACACATTGAAGTAATGAAATTTTTTATTGATATTCTCTAGTTTAGGACTTTTAATGCCTTTAATCTTACTTGATTATTGATTCCTCAAAATATTAAGTCATGAAATTGAGGATAAATAAGTTTTTTTTTACAAATTTCACAAATGTTTATCAAAAAATTTGGCGCACGATAGTAATTTGTATGAAAAATTAACTAATTTTCAATCGCAAATATCTCGCTTCGGGCATATTTGGGCATGTACACATTAATATGGAAGGTTAATTAGACTTTGTTCTTTATATTTAAATAGGTTTGGTAGAAGCGGAAAGACGCGAATTTAACTTATGAGTGTTTAAAGTCTTGGTAAATTTCAAAAAAATTAATCATGTATATTCGCCCAATTAATAGGTTTTCTTTTGGTTTCTTCACACAAACACAAAGTACTAAGCTTAATTAAGCTGGTTATCAGGATTAAAACAAGAAATTTGAAGTGGAAAGGAGAAAAAATTTAAGAAAAATATTTGTTGTCATTTTGTAAACAAATTTATTGGCATCTTAAAATCGAATTTTTGTGAATTAGACAACAAATTGGAATGTGATATTTTTACAGAACATAAAACACATCATGTTCTTTAATCTGGCATTTAAAACATATAGTTTAATTAACTTGTTATTTTTGAATTTTTGAACATTTTTTTCAAATCTGAATCATTGTGCAAAGTTAAGTTTATTTCAGCTCAATTCAGCACAGTTCAGCTCAAATTTAACACTGCTCAGCTCAATTCAGCACAATTCAATATAGTTCAGCTTAATTTAGCTCAATTCAACACAGTTTAGTTCTATTCAGCACAGTTCACCTCAATTCAGCTCAGTTTAGCTCAATTCAGCACATCTTATTTAAGTTTACAAAAATTCAGCAAAATTCTATTTAAATATTCAACTGCTGACTTAATTAATTTCCTTCTATTCACATCTGGTGCGGTGTAGGAATAAGAAAAGAAAAAGTTCCCACAACACATGTGCCAAAAGCATTCAAACGGATATTGTAAGAATTTTTATGAACCACTATGAATGTGTCTATCATTTTGATCTTAATTATAGAAAATAAACAAAATACACTTGAAACAGCCATACTCTAAAGTGTCATGTTCGGGCTTGCCTACATAATTTTCCTTTTTTTCCATATAATGAGGACATAATATTTTTTTTTAACAAATTATATTCAAATTTTCCGTGGCAGCAAACACCTATATACAATAGCTGTTTATGCGTCATTCATGCAGAATTCAGTTATGTAAATTATAATCTATTCAATAAGAAGTGCTGCCTTCGTTAACTAATATATTTAGCACAACTGATTCATAATTCCGAAAAAAGCAACTGACCATAATGATTATTAAAATTGCTTATTCATCTGTAATGGTCAATAGATTTTGTGGGTTGCATAGACAGATACAAAAGCTCGAGTTTATCCTACAATTTTAACCCTTTCTTAACAAAAAGGGATCATTATAGTCTCGGATCACTGTTTATTTTTCTAAATTTATGTCGGACTATATACATTTTTGTTAATTAACGAGCTGCAGAGCTCAAAAAATCTTGAAACCTCATCAGATGCTTGACGTTGTGGTGCCTAAAGGGTGTTTTTCTTTTTTGTCATTGAAACATGTGATGTAAATTAATTTTCTTGCATAAAGTTTAGAGGCAAGGAAACTCAATTAGTCCATTGTGATATCTCCATTCAGTCATTTAAAGTTGACAAAAGTCATTAACTAGATAAAATTTAATTTGCAAAAAGGAATTAATTGCTAATGAAGAAGATGGATCTACTTGAATGAGGAAGTACTTTGTTGTTATGAAAGAAGGCAAGGAGTTTAATTTTAGAAGGGTTAATGCTTTTCAGAAGCAAGAGTTGCAGAAATTTGCTGCTAAGGAGAGATGAGTAGGCAGTTATTTGACCTTGTTGTATCGAAAACTTCTAATTTTATTGATAATATTGTTTTAAGACCTTTTAAAGAATTGCATTTTGCTCAAATCTGAAGTTTTGAACACAAATTTCAATCTTGATAAGGATTCGAATGCCTACCCGAATTCTTCAACATTGCATGATCCAAGGTAAAAGACATACAATTTGTGGATCTTCAGAATTAATATTTAAGAAATACACAACCTAATCCGAATAGCTCAAATCGGTTAATCGAATAGAAAACCGGCGTCAAGTCAAACCGACTTGTGCCATTCGGGTAAATTGCATCGCTAGAACAATTAAATACTAATCTGGATCTTACTAGACTTTAATCTGGATCTTCCTAAACTTCACTAGATAAAAATATAGAGTCTATGACTCCACGAGTACAACCAAAGTTGATAAAATCTGAAAATTATAAGATATTGCCCTACAAAACCATTAAGCATAAATTTCCAAGACATTTTCTGTTTATAAAAGTTTTGTTCTTGATTTATTTCATTTCATCAGCACTTTTTTCGTATCAAAAATAAATATAGTATAAAAATCTCTTCATATATTCTCCTTAAAGTATCTAATTAAAGTCTATCGTATGATTTATTTCAATTGTTTCAAATTTCATCTTATTTGTTAAAGCTCAAAATATTTTTGGTCAAACTTAAGTTTTATGACTTTTCAGAAATGTGATTATGTTATCGAAAAATGAATTTTTGGAATCTCATCGATCCTACACACAATTTTTTTTATCACTTTTATTTATCAAATTTTATTTTATTTCTTAATGCTTGCCAAAACCAAATATTTTTCTATTTACTTTCTCAACGTGACGCAATTCATAAAAAAAAATAAAATAAAATTTTGCAACGCTATCAAAAAGTATGAAAAATTCAGTGAGTGGATATTCTCTTGTTGATTCAATCAAAAAAAGAGAGCGAAAAGTATTATATAAAATAGAATAGAAAAAAAAACTTTTTAAGCTACGAAATCCTGAGATATATAAGTTTTGCCATTGTCAAGTTGTTGATTTTGTAAACAATTTTTATGTATTTTTGGATGTGAGGATTGTGTGTGACGAGTCAAAAATTCACGTTTCATTATGACAATTGTTGAAACAAAATACAAACTGCTTTGGAACACACGTATTAGTCCTTTGGATATACCTTATAAATCTACTTTTGCCTTATATACTAATGACTAAAATTTTTTTCACCATTGTTTATATTCATAAAAAATATATGAAATCCTTTGGATTAATTTTTTTGTTTTTGCACATAATGGATATCTCGAATGTGCGTGTCATGAGCCTCACTTCAATAGGCCATTTCTGGGTGCCATGGACGATATGGTTTTGAGTTATTATTATTATTATTGTATCCGTTATTGGCACCATTGCCATACAATTGATTTGCATTACCATAATGATAATTTCCACCCAAGTTTAATTGTAATCGATCATTAGAGTTTGAAAGATCTGTATAAATAGGTTGTTGATTCTCTTGCGACTGTTGTTGGGCTGGGCCGCTTGTTGTAACTGTAACTGGAGCTGGCGATGTTGAGGTTACACTATTATTATTTGATGACGTATTGACATTCGTGCTAGTCGATGAATTATTCGTTGTCGTTCCATATCCCGATGATGAATATTCAGGCGATTGTGGTATGAGATATGATGTTGATGTAGATGCATTTGCAGACATGTACGATGAATTAAAGCTATTGTTATGCTGATTGCTGCTGGTTTGCTGATTTGAACTGGGCGTAATTGGAGTTGCTGGATATGTCTGATAGCCTTGTGCTGAATAGTTTGGTTGATAAGAATTTTGAAAACTTGTCCAATTTGTGCCTGGCATCGTTGGAGCAGATGACTTTGCACTCAGTTCTCGTTGAGCAACAAAACATTGTAAATGTGACATGAGCCTTAATCTCAATGGATCTTGTATGTCCATTCCTTCAATTGTCACAAGATAACGTGCTACTTCAGATGCACATTCACGGAAACCAATGATGTGATAATCCATCGCAAATCGTTGTGGGTCGAATGTCATCGAATCTATGCCTGTAAAAAAGATATCATTTCAAATTAGTCAAATGTAATTAATTATAATGAGTAAATAATTTTTTTATCAATTACAAAGGCATTCTCAATAATTTCCCATAAATCGACCCTTCACGGAACAACAGAATTAAATACTTTTCCGTATTTTACATATCAAGCAACCCCTCTTTCTCACAGTATAACTCTATTAATATCTAACAACGAGCATGAGAAAAAGGGATTCTCTGTGTACGAATGTTCTTCAAAATAAAAAAAAAATTATAAATCGTCATCAATTTTTGTTAAGTTGTGCTAGGGCGGCTTCATTGCTCTTTCTATGGGAAATAATTTTATTTTATATTTTTTGCTTTGCACTTCTCTTTCCCTCACACACATCTAATAAAGTAGATCCCCTCATTCCATTTCGCTCTCTCATCTTCAGTAATTCATACATGAAAACGCAGTCTACTTATGGATGTATGAGTGAGTGAGAGGGAGAATAATATATTTATATATGGTAAGAAGGTCCCTTTTGTTATATTTGAAATATTTTAATGTTTTTTTGTGTGGTGTTGTTTGCTGTCGCAGTAGAAGAACGTGGGAAAGTGAATTTTATCGCATTGCCACGCGAATTATTTGCTGAGACGAGGTGAAACGACACAAGCTTTTTGATTTCGACATAAAAAAAAAGTTTTATTTGATGTTTGGTTTCTCCACCCTCACACTTTTTATTGTTATTATTATAACTTATTGATTTATTCATGTTGATAGTCATTTTCAATGATATTGCAATATAGATTGTGATGATTATTAAGCTAATAATATTCTTCCTGTATTATTTTTCTGCTCCAGTTCATTTGAATGTCAATTTGTTTGCTTTTTTACGGTTTATTTAAATTTCCGAGCAAATATTTGATTTGATAATGATTTTAATATTAAACTGGGTTTTTGCAATATAATAAAATCGGATAGAATCAAATTAAAGATTTCGCGAAATCAAATTACGTACGTCAAATATAATTGCTTACGTAAAAATACGTACGTAAATTCAAAACATTAAAAACTTCACACACATCCCGGTCAGTGTCGGCAATTTAAAGAGTCATATTACACATCTTAGCTAATGTTTTGCCAGGAAGTGAATACAAAGAAGGACAGTAAAGGAAGAAAAATTGCATAATGTGTCTCAAGTATTTCACTTTAATGACTTTTTATCACTTTAAAGGAACGTGAAGGCAAAGAGAATGAAGAAAGAAATATAATTTTCATAAAATACAGTATCAGCATGTTGTTATGAAATTTTATCCATAGTTCCTTGTTATGAATATACAGTAAGAGGGAGAAAGAAAGGGAAAGAATATGAAGATGAGATGTAAGGAACACATAAATGACTTTTGAGAATATTTCTTTTTTCTGTGATATTTTTTTTTTTTAGAAGACGGAAGTGCAGGTGGTAAATTTTTAAAGAAGCCAATTTTTTTGTTCCATTTTTTCATATTTCCCATAAAACGTTTCTTTATAGAGCCGAATAAAAGAATAGGAAATAATTCACATACCTTTCGAATGTAACGTTTTAAGATGATCTACTGTTAGTTGAAGAATCTCAGCCTTTTCCAGCTTCGCTGAACCCTGCTTTTCAAAAGCGGATGGCACAAGTCGCTTTAGTTCCGACAACGATGAATTTATTCTGTCTCTTCGTTTCTTCTCAATTACACCTCGTCGTTTCTTACGAGTCATTAGCTGACAACTGTCATTTTCAATAGACGATGGACTAAAGAAAGTAAAAGCGTAAAAGAAGGTGGAAAAAAAAAATTTTGGAATGAGAATATGTTCAATGTCATTTAAACATTCAGATGTGTTCATTCAATTTTTATCTTCTCGTATCTTGTGCGAACAAAAAAAGTGTGAATTATCATTCACAAATTTCGGTATTTTCGAGAATATTAAATATGCAGGAAGTTTGCTAATTGCTAATTTATGGAACTGATTTCCATTTTTCACCTAAATTATCAAACTTTTCGCATATTTATTTTAAACTTTTTTTGTTCAAGATTTTCGAGGCACAAAAAAAAATACTTACTGCTCCTTTGATGATTCTTCGGAATAAATGTCATCACAATCACTCTCTGACATTGCTCTTTTGAGACCTCTTGTCGAAGGAGGTGTCCATGTTGCTTGATTGCTGACTGGATTACTATTCGCAATAGGAGTTGATGTCAATGGAGCTGTTGAAATGTTTGTAGATGGTGATGAATAATTCCAATGAATGGGATGATGACCTTGAGTATTTTGAATACTATGATGATGGTGATGATGCATGCTGTGGTGTTCCATTTCTTATTTATTTATAATATAAACTTTTACACTATAATTATGTTAACTGATCTTGATATCAACCGCAATGTATATATATTGTCACTTGTCAGTCGATTGGCGACACAAAACTTTTAAATCTTAGTTCTAGATTTTTTTATAGGGACATGTGTTTAGCACACACTCGGTTTTACACTTGTTTCGCGATGTCCTACTTTCTTAACTTTATTTTCTATGATCAAAATATGATGGTGCAAATTTGTTATGTATAAGTTCTAAAAAAATATTCTTCCCGATTCTGTAATTCACGTGTGGACCTTACGTCGAACGGCGTTCGAATAAAAATTTTAAACACTCTGTATTTGTCATGAACGTCGGCTGTACACACGCATTGCATTATGCCCTTATGCCGGTTAACTTCATCCCCACTCCTCTCACTCTTTGTACCTCCTTCATGTTGATTCTCTTTCATTCCTGTTGCATGCATACTATGCTGTTGATGCAGTTCCTTAATTTCAAATAACACAGAGAGGAAAAAGTTCAAAAGAGAGAATTATGTTTATGCTGCGAGAGAGAAAAATGGTAAATACAACATTCAGCATTGAACATAAAAGGGTGTATATGCTTGGGAGGGGAAGTAGTAAAACTTATATGAATCACTGTGTTAGAAAATTGCACTATACAAAAAATTCGATGAATGAGCATAATTTTATTTTCCCTCATTTTTATTCTATCCAATAATGTCTCGACAGTGTCTATTTCCTTCTTTTTATTATGCTTACATACTTACTTTTAAGATCCACTTACTACCATGATTGTAAGAAATTTTTCCAACAATGTCGGCAACATTGAAAATTAAATAAACTCACGTGTTCGATGAACACGCTTTGAATTTCGTAATAAACGCCTGACTTTAAACTCATGACTGTTAAACCGATTAATAAATTATGATTCAATAATTTCTCATTTATTGTGCAAGTTTTGCAACTGGATTATGGACAATTTTGTAACAATTAAATACACGCGAGGATTTGTGAACATTTAAATGTTGCTAATCCAATTGCAATCTGTGAGCTGTTAATTGTAGACGTGTTGAAATGATTAATGCTCAACTTGATTAAAGATTTAAAGTTCTGATAAGCTTTTCAATTAATTTACATCTAATTGCTACTTTAAAGGTCTTATCCTGCTAATACTAATCAAAATGAAGTTTTTAAGAGTTAGTAAAATGAGTTTTTGGCTATTTCAGCTAAGATACAAGCTGATACAAGCATTATTTTAATTGATTCAGGTTTATTTTGAAATTTGCGCCAGAAAATGTGAATCAACTCAAAATATATTGTTCTTTAATTCAAAATCTAAAAAGCCCTTTAAATTCAAATGTAATTTATTCGATTTTAACGAATCCTTAACAATCAATTGACAAGTGTCGCAAGTGATCTTTTAATTTCACCAGACACTCATAAATTGTAACTTTAAATTTCAATGATTAATTGCTCAAACGTGTACTAATAATAAATCAATTGTGTGCCTCTCTGTAGACTCTTACTCTCAATATAATGAAATTGTACAATCAGAAATTTAAAATAGAAATTGCAAATTCATTGCCAATATCGAAAAGAAAGAAAGGAATAACAATAAAAATGGTACGCCTCAATATAATTGAAAAATCAATTTTCAATGGTCAATTGGGAAAGGGATGATAATGCTTGAGAGATGACTCTATTGTTTTCAATTAATTTTCTTCTTTTTTTTCATGAATGACACAATAGAAGAATGACCTGCTCTGTTGAGTTTGTCATGTTCATGGTAATTTTTTGGTAAGGTCATGGCTCGTTAATTTCCTTCCTTTTCTCTTTGCAAAAAAAATTAAAATTCTACTGAAAAGGCACCTAATTTTGTATCGAAAATTAAATTATCCTCTCCTACATTTAATAATGAATGGATATTATTGTTGCTATTGATTATGCAAACATAATTTTAATGGAAATCTCAAAAGTCAATTACCAGTCACGTATAAATAGGAAAAAATTCATTTTACATAAAATTAAGGAAATTTTACGATTTGTTGGCTTATTCAATTGCGTATTTTTGACAAATCAAAAATTTATAGAATTTTATTGAACATATAAAAATTTACGATCAACAATATTGTGATTAAAATTATTGCTGTTTTTGAATTGTCATGCACTCGTGCGACACTCACTCGAGGGATGAATATTATTTTTCGCGTTTTCGTAGGGAGTGAAATAAACTTTTTTTTTCATCCATCATCCATGGACAGTTTATCAATTTTTGGAACAATTCAATGTCTATCCTTCCGCATTCTTGTTTCAGATGAAATTATTATTTTTATCTATCTGGTCGTTTCTCATAATTGTCATTAAGGTTATTTTGAGATTGATTAATGTTTATAGTATACAAGCTGTGCTTAGTCATCGTTTTGTCCGCATGTAATTGGGATTTCCACAGATTTATCATCGTTTGAAAAAAACTCAAATTTAATTTTGTAACGGACATTTTTAATTTAAATTTTTGCATCTTTTTGACTGAATATAAGTGCTAAAATTTAAATTCAAATTATGCGTTACAATTTAAAATTCAATTTTACAGCCAAAACCAAGCATAAATGCGTAGCTTACCATCAACTCAACAATACCCAACCAACTCTAATCCTTTTTATGTTTTATTTGATTTTGATGACAATCAATTCAACATAAGAAATGAAAATCATAAATCGATCATACACATTCACATATGAAATGAGCATGAAGCATCAAATGTATCTTCAGAGTCATCGACAGTCACGTGCTCTCGTGCAAAAAGGGTTCAAAAAATTATTTGCCGCATCATCAATCGCTATCATCCCATGATCGATTATTTATAGATTCTTCATCATCTGATTCATGAAAAACAATAAAAAGCTAATTGGGACTTTAGATTTTTTTCATGATTTTGCTTTTTTATTTCCAAAAAGAAGTTTTCCTGTTTACGTCTGTCAAATTGATCAGAAAAAGAAATCGAATAAAAATTCTTCTTACTTTAAAAATTAAAACATTACATTTTTCTATAAGATTCAATTTGATTAACACGTTTTTAAATCACAATAAGTAGAACATCCAACTTAGTACATCCCATTGAAAATTCAATTAACTTTTCTATAGAATTTATAAAGTTACACAATTTTAGATTCTTCATTAATGAACAAAAAGTCAATTAATTTTAAGTTGAAGGTCAGCAAAACAAAGAAATTTAAGCAGATGGTTTTCCATCCTCCTGCTGACTGTAATGCAGTGTCTGCTTTATCTCTACAAGCCAATGATGGGAAGGTATTGAGTAAGACTATTTAAGTATGGATGGCTGATATCATAAATATTTGGATTATAGATTGCATTAGTCTTACCAAAGTTACTCTCAGATTGTTGAGATTGGACTTAAAAGAACGAATTTAAGGAAACTAGTGAAGTTAACGATCAAATAAGCAATAAGTCAGTGTGAGATTGTCATAAGTACAACCTTGGCTAATTTACATTCAATGCTTTGACTTTGATTCTCTGATGATCTCAATTATTCAACAATCATCTTCTTTACCTGTTCACGCATATTCTTTTTATGTGCAGCAACAGCTTTAAGGATGAAGTAGTAACAGTATACATCATTGGACAAATAGTCAGTACCGCATGCAGTCATATTTCCCTCGGGTGTGTATCTATTCCATCCTATCAATGGAATAATTGTCCAAATGAGTGATGCAGCCCATACGAAATGATTTTCCTGAGATATACTTAACAATCACATTATATCGATCGAAAGGCAATCGTTGTCACTGTTCAAATTGAGGTACAGCCGAAAAGTGATACAGCCATTTAATACTGAAAGGATTTAATAGCATTATCAGTTAATTGAATCTTTTGATTCGAGCAGAGGTGTATTTAGGTGTTTAGGGGTTTGTATTCTACTCTTTCTCGAGATTAAGGCATGCAAGGTTTATATTCACATCAGAATCTCATTTAAGGATATTGAGAGGGGTGACATGGATGAAAAATTCGATTCAAAGTGTAATAATAAGGGGAAAACAGCATGATGGGAAATGATGAATCCAAAATTCTGGTTTTAGTCGAAAATTTTACATCAAAACTTTTTCCCATCATGTTGTTTCCCCCTCAGTCATTATAAAAATACATTTCTACTTAAAAGTCATTGAACTTATAATCTGACCTGCCAAAATACCAAAAACCAATTTCTCAAAAAATTATTAAATGAAAATATAAATTACACGAAAATTTTTCATTAAATTAGCAACTTAATTTTTACCTCATAGTAGCAGTTAATAACCATTGGTGGTCCCTAATTGAATTATAATTGAATTCTGTTCTTAATTAAATGCTCCATTAAATTTTAGCAATAAATGTCTTGTAATTACCATCGTGAAAATTATCATAAAATCTGCAACATCAAGATTAATAACGAATAGATTGGATAAAGTGTCTTTAAAGATTAAGTCTCTAGGAAGATGTAAATAACTCATAGCCTTATTATTTTTGGCAATTAAATTTTACTTTGTGTGCTTATAAAATCCTTATTGTGGAAGGTTATGAGCCTCTCGTCATAATTGTTCATGTATTTTTATTATTACTTTTTTTTTTCATAATGCGATTACAAATTGCCAAGCTTTTACTTGTTCCTTCATACTTTTCCTCTTTTCTTTTATGGATCTAGGAGAAAGTCATAAAATACAGTTGCCATTTGTTAAAGGACTTGGATTTACTGTAATTCATTTTTAAATTCATGAATGAATTAATATTTTTATTCATAAATGCTTTGTTCCCACTAGATTTGTGTATTAAGTCTCTTTTAAAAATGTATTACTGACCACGTGCTAGTATGCCAACGGAAATTATTCAAATATTTTTAGGGTGAGTGATCAATTTTGAACCGATTCATAACAATGTCCTTGCCATAAAATAACGGCTTTTTAATATTCAGCATGGAAGTAATTGCCGTTCAAACAAAGCCAGTAATTGGAGCTGAATTTAATGGATACAGTGCCTTAATAAGTGAATAATTCAAGAGCAATCATTTTGTGTTTAAAACTGATCCAACACAAAAGACTTAATCCAGTCTAGCTCACGATAGTCAAGAGATTGCTGTGCTGCAACGATTATGATTAGTGCAAGAACGGGATGTACCCTTCAAAAAATAATAAAATTAGTGGTTGCTACATCCAATTATTTATTCTACAGCTTACTCTCAGGATTACCATCCTTAATTTGAACTAATCTTTTGAATAATTGCTGAACTTCTTTCTCTTCGTCTTCCTTTATGTCACTTCCTCTAGCCATTTTGAATTTTATTTCAATTACTTTTTCAATTTTTTCATCAGTTTTGTCAAGTATCAAGTCTATTGGAAGTCTGCCTTTTTCACACAATCGAACGAAGGTTTCAATTTCAGCAATGTCCAAAATGAGATACTTGTAAGTTTCACTTGTTGATTGTGTCATTGTTGGGAGTTAAATGGATATGACTCGGTGTTGTTAATCACGTGGACTATTTTGGCAATGACAATTCATGTTGAATATAGTTTAGACGAGTTATCAGTAGATTAGATGGTTTAACCTCCTTTAAAACAATCTTTTATCAGCACCAGAACCACATGATAGCCATAACATTCAAAATAAAGGACATAAATGACACTAGACACAAAAATTAAAAATTCAACACTTTCCATTTAAAGAGTATTTGATAATATTTGCCATGCTGCTTAGAGTTGTCATTCATTGTCATGTCAATGCATAATGTCGATTAAGTGATAATAGGAACACGCATATGATCTAATATAATAGCTGGTCTGTGATAAAAAATGCTCAGTTCTGGTCTAGAGACGTAACAGACCCAATTAAAAGCTGTAAAATAAACAAGGTTCCAACAATGAGTGGAAAGGAAGTAGAAAAAGTAGGTCCAAAGAAGCAAAAGATTAATTGGCCAGCAGTCTATCAATACTTACTAGATTATTGTCAAGACACTACTATTCATGGATTTAAGTATATTGGATCTACCGACCGTCCATGGATTGAGAGAATTTTCTGGATGATTGCGTTCATCATATCGACAATTGGGTAATGTAGTTAATATTTTTAACATTATAGGGTCATTCCGAATTGATGGGGGCAAGGGTTAATTTATAATGGACATATCTTGAGCGGATTTCAGTGTAAATACTCCAATAACTTTAATCTTCAATCCCCTATTAGATGTGCTTTGCTGATATCTGAAATGTTTGAAAAGCTCCAGACCAATCCAATTACTGTATCTCTTGCTGAAAGGCCAAGTGCAATTTCGGAGGTACGTAATGCAATAACATGATATATAGATTAATTTAAAATGATAAGTTCTCTGATTTTAGATTCCATTCCCAGCTGTAACAAGTAAATAGCATGCAAGTTTATCATGCAATCATTTTTAAATTATTTATGTCATTTTCAGTCTGCTCTGAAACGCAAACTGCATTTAAGGACACTGACTTTAGTTTTCGACCAATTATTGACGCTGGGAAGAGTTACGATTTCAGCAAGCTAAATGATCTTGAGTAAGTTGTTGCTTTATGTCCACAAAATTAAGCCTAAATAAAATATTGTTAAACATCCAGCAAGGCACGACTCCAAGCAATTGCATTCGTCTGCAAACCTGATTATTTGAAGAAAGTTAAGTTCAGCACTCAAACTAATAACTTGGTAGAGGTTATGAGAAGTTTGGTCAATGAAGATTGGTTTTTAGCACAATCAGCAGTTTGGATGAAGCTGTATGCAGCTCCATTCGCTCTTAGACTTACTCCTTACGGCTATTGCTTTACATTCAATGTAATCAACGATACGGACCTACTAAATACCGAACAGTAAGTCACTATTGGTGATCTAAAGACATAACCTATAAAAATTATCCTTTTCCTTTACAGAGTCTCATCAGACTTCTTCTATACCCGAGACATTAAACTATACAAGAAGGAAGTAAATGCATTCCATTTGCCACCAAAAAGTACTTTAGAATTTGATGCTGAATATCCATGGAGTGCTAAGCTATCTGATCAAGACAGTGGACTTAGTGTTGCAATGCGATCAGATAATAGAAGTAAAGATTGGTGGTGCTCACGTTATGAAGGATTTCGATACTTTATTCATGGAACTAATGAATTGCTTTCATCGACCAATCGATTTCAGCTTCAATTTGGTGAACTTACTGAGTTATTGATCAAGCCAAAGATGACAATTACTGAAGAAGATTTGAGGGACTATACTTTGGAAAGACGAAACTGCTTCTTTGATGGAGAAAAGAAATTAAGATACTTTAAGCAGTACACAAAGTACAATTGTGAACAGGAATGTCTATCGGTAATTGTTACTGCGACTGAACCTTCCTTATCAGATGTAAAGATTATTCTTTCAATTTTAGAACTACACAGCTAAAGTTTGTGGATGCGTTAAATTCTCCGTGATTCGCGACAAGCAGACCCCAATATGCACAGCAGAACAAAATGAATGCTTTGAAAATGCTGAAAACGAACTGTTTAATGGCGAAATTACGTTGGACGGGAAGAGTAATCAAAATAGATATCAAGCTTTAATGAAATGTCAATGTCTGTCTCAATGTGAATCACTGAAATATGAACTTGAATTGGTCAAGACTAATTATAAGAGTAAGTTTTGTTGGAATAGGTTGTGAGATGATTAATAATTTCCGATTTTCCAGTTCATCTTGTTGATTACATGACAATTGCATCACTAAAGGTATTCTTTAAGGACAGTGAGTTTGTGCCTTTGAAGCGATTCCAGTTGTACGGAACTGTGGACTTTTTGGCTAATTGTGGTGGACTTTTGGGATTGTAAGAATCGGCTGTGCTCAGGGGGGTAGCCAGAAATTTGAAGAGGAGGGGGGGGGGGGGACAAAAAATTTAAGGGGGGGGGGTAGATTTTTTCATAAAACACTAGCAAAATAAGGGGCTGTTCACTTATTACGTAACGCGAAAAAATGACTTCTTAGACCCCCCCCCCCCTCGTAACAAAATTTGTATGAAAAAAAAAATTTCCTTGTTTGAACCGTAACAAAATCTTAGACCCCCCTCCCCCTAAAAGCGTTACGTAATAAGTGAATGGCCCCTAAAGAAATTTCTGTTTACGTAGGAGGATTTGTCCCCCAAATCCCCCCCTGGCTACCCGCCTGGATGTGCTTTATAGCAATCAAAAATTCTTAATCATGTCGATTTACTTAGGTTTGTTGGAGTATCCGTGCTGTCAATTGTGGAAATATTCTATTACTTTATCTTGCGACTTGCATGCATTATGAGAAAGGCACCAGGTGATGATGACGATGAGGATGTTGAAAAAGACGAAAATGGAAAGGAAAATCGCATTCAAGTCAGGGAAGTTGACAATAGACCAGAAGCTGATCGTTACTAAAAAGCAGAATTGTTTTAAAAGTTATTACTTTATTGATTCAAAATGGGTTATAAACCACCAAAAAGAGCCACTATTAAGGCTTGTTATTTGCAAAAGTATTATATCCAAAAAATTTTTTTTCCCTAAATTTGCATGCATTTAAGTCACTCTCGAATGGCTTGCAATCAAAATATTGTATTTTGTCAAATTTTAAGTGTGTCATCACAACTTACTCACGGTTGAAAAGATGTCAATTACCATGATGTGATGCTGTTTAATCCAATTAATAATATTTCACAATAAAGTCACGTTTGAGACGAGCAGACACAAATGTTTTATACCATTTAAAAATATCCAAGTTATTCTGAAGAACTCGAACTTGAGGATGAGGTTCTTTTTTTCTTAGACTTCTTCTTTTGCGAACGCTCACTTGCTGAGTCACTTTCTGACTCGGTTTCTTCCACAATTTTGTCTTTCTTTGAATGACGTTTTGATCTGTAAGGAAATAATTGGATTAATTCATTCGTTTGCTGCATATTAGTCAGAACTCAAAATCGAGTCTTTCCTCAGAATCTCTTTGAATGATGTTCAGATCTCAGAACCATATAAAAGATATGGGCAAGATCAGAAAAAAAGGGAATAAATATTCAAATTCAGATTTCTCTGCTTTTAATAACTTAATTAATATGATTCCTTCACTACATGATAGCTAATAATAGTAAGTTTCTTTTTAACATTCATTTTTCAAAATGGCGACTTATTAAGTTAGTTTAATTAACAAATTAATATTTGAAATCGATTTTTCTTTGAAAAGAAAGCAAGATGAATGTTTGGAAGCTTGACAAAAGTTGTAGAGCTTGCTTTTTTCTATCATATGATCAAAATAGATTTTATTAAAAATGAGTTATTTTAGTTAAATTAACTGAAAACCAAATTGAATGTAAAATGTATTTTTAAATCAAAACTATTAACCTTAATCGGTCAAGAACAATTACTTGATATCTAAAGAGTCTTTTACTATTTAATTTACATTCGAAAAAGGCTTAAAAGTAAGTTAAATTAACTATAAAAACAATGAAATTTAAGTTGAGCAACAAATTTTGCTCTTATTTGCTCACAAATTTATAATTTTAAAAACCGTTACAAAATTTTTGGTCAAATTTTTTACTATAATTTAATTTTCTCTGCTTGTCTTGAACAAAAAGTAATATTTCTTTTGCAATATGATAAACATTGTTGAATTCTATAGTTTGAAATGAAAAAATCAGTAGACGAATAACACAGCAATGACTTATGACTAGTTTTGTAAAACTCATCATAACTTGGTTAATTATAGTAGAATTGAAAATTTTCTCTCACAAACGTAAAGAAAATTACATATAAAACCTTTTTTGTAAAGAAAGATAGTTCCTAAACTATTTCCTTCATATCAAAATTTCAGCTTCAACATTTTAAAGCTGAATTAAGCTAACTTACAAATCCGCCATTTTGTATATTTTAAACAAAACTTTTAATGATTTGATTGCTTAATTATCTGGTGAAAAATCGTTATGATTAATGAAGTATTCGCAGAGATATTACATTTGCAACATGGTGTAAAATCGAATTTCCTCAAAATTGTTCGTGACGCTTAGCACTTTAAATTAATTTTTAATTATAATCCAATGTCTAAGAGATACTTGTTATACACCAAAACATAGGTCTTGGCAAGGACTTTAAGAAAAACACAAGTCTTAAATACATATTTCGCATTATTGATTCAAAAATTGTAAATTGTTGTTAAGCGTCACGAACAATTCATTTTTGATCTTGCCCATATCAATTCTATTTTTAAAGCCTTTACAACACTAGAATGTACCTTGTTTCCTCTTGTTCCTTTGAGCTTTCACGACTTCTCCTTCGCTTCTTTGTTTTTTCATTGTCTTCGTCATCCTTTCGAGATTTTCTCTTTTCCTTCTTTTTATCACGATTTCTCTTTTTATCTTCATATGAAGATCCAGCTGTTCCATATCCTGTATCCTTTCGTTTGCTTCTGTGGACAAAACTTAATGTTTATAATCGATATGCTTAAGATTTAAAATCTTATACTCAAGTAGGTATTGATCATAGTACTACAAAAAATGTTCTTACTTCTTCTTGTCTCGTCTCTTATCCTCACTGTCATCGCTATCATCATTTTTCCTAAAGAAATGAAGGAGATTCAAGTCTGAAAGATTAATAAAAATTGATCTTGCAAACCTTTTCTTGGATTTACTGGATTTTTCATTCGAAATTGTGTAAATCTCATCAGAATTGCGTTTCTTGTTCTTACTACCTTTGGACGCTTTTGTGTATCTTTCATTCTGATACTTTAGTTTCTTCTTCATTGCTGCACTTTTCTTTGTCTCACTAAATACAACATACAGACGATATAGTTGAAGTAGAATCACCAACGTGTTCTTGCCTGAAATGATTTTCATTATTTGGATAAAGCATTGTTCGAAATATCATTAAAATATGGATACATACATGTGAAGAAGACGTTCATATAGCTGATTATCTTGTAGTGAATGATAATTAAAAGCCGAAAAGTCAGAAAAGGTGCATCCTGCAAAATTATGTTGAGTGCTATTCCCCAAATATCAATTGAGCAGCAACAATCAGAACAACAGGTGTTCGATTCTTCGTCTGCGGCATCGTGGCTTGATGCACCTCTTGGTTTCTGCATGGAAAGTATTATTTATAGATTTAACGGTTTTTTAAAATTTGATCGGTTTTAAAGCTCTTTTTTGCATAGAATTCAAATTTTAAAATGGCAGTTAAATGCATAAAAATGAAAAAAAACTTACACGTGCTCTAGTAGCGGTTAAGACAATTGTAAATTGTAGTAAACTCCAAGACCAAATTGAAAGTGTCAAATATACCAAAATTTGTTCATCCGCAATTTTATTATCCTTGAATGAGTCGAAAAATTCGATGATGTCAGCCGCAGTGCCTAGTTTAATGCAAAAATCGCAAAAATTAATTAATAATACAATTCATTTGAAAGCTGACATCAATACAAGATGATTTCCAAGATTCGATCCAGTGACGTATGGCAGGTCCAAAAAGTTGGGTATAGGTGAACTTTATATTCTTTGAGGTTCTTTATTCCAATTAAGTTTGCACTACTCAACCAAATGAAAATGGTTTTCAATAAGGACCTGCCGTACAGCACTGGACGAACGAAAAAATTTGAAACTTGGGGAATCGTCTCGTATTGATGTCTTGATTTTAAATTAGTTTAAATGACACTCAGTTCCTTACCAATATACACTAGCAATAACTGACTTAATTGATCGCGAGTCAAGTCTCCTTTTGGAAGTAACCATCGACCAATTATCAAAACCAGCATTAAAAATTGCTCAATCAATGTAACCCAAGTCGCTGCATCTACGTTAAGCTCTGGAAGTTTTATATTAACTCCCAATAATTTATCAAGTTCCTTAAGATCGGCAGTTGCAGCCGCAAGACTGAATGCTGCTGCTGTATCTTCATGAATCTTGTGTCTTTTCTCAACTTTATCCAATTCTAAAAGCCAAATTGCTGGAACCACAGAGCTCAAATATAAGAAAACTGAAGGACAGAACCTGAAAGGAATTGAAAAAGGTTGTCTTTAAGCATGTCTGTTGATATCAAATGGAATGATGATGCATAATTTTTGAGGGTTCGATGATAATTCTACATTTTCCTTGCTGCTTCCGTTTTATTACTGAAAAGCTTTTTTAAAGCTTTGGATATTCATTTTTGAAGATGTGCTTTAAATGAGCTTTCAAGTTCATTCAGAGGTAATCGATAACTTTGCTTGACTGTGGATCTTAGCTGAGGCTTAAAGCTATTAAATTCTTCATTTTGATTGTCAATAGACTCAACTTACCATCTCCATTCCTGATTCTTTTTAATAGCCAAAGTGAAAATTCCTTCTAATGCTAGAAGTCCGATTGGTGTGCTAAGACTCCAATAAATCGGATTCTTCTTATATTGAGTCACTTGCCAAATCGCTAAAGCTCCATGTGCACCAAACATTATTCTTGTAATTATAGCTTTAAGTGTGGCTATAAATTTTGCCATAATTCCTTAACTTTACTTCCAATTTCCAAATAAATTAAATTATTTTAATCTACATACTGTAAAGGCTGTCAATCGACTGCTAAACAAGGATTTCTTTCACACCGAATATTTGGGTGTTTTTCTAATGACATTGTGCATAATCATCCTTACTAGCAGTTTTATAATGTAAAATGATACCTGAAATAGTGTGCGCTTCATTGTAAAAACCGGAAGTCCTTAAGCATAACAATCGTGATTGTGCAAAAGTTACTCTCCAATACAATAATAAAATGGAATATGTTTTGTGCTGCCTTGATATCAAGCATGTTACTCATAAAATTAACGTGTTTTTAAAATTTGAATTGTGTAACGGTTCTCAAAAATTTGAATAATTATGTCTTGTTGTCAATTTTTTTTTGTTCCTTCTTTAAATTTTAGAAATTAATATAATTAATGGATATAACACCGCTTTTTAAGGCTTGTATCAAGACGGTGAAGCTTCAAAACAAGTCACTACCAGTTCCAGATAAAAATAGGATATTGAAAACCACACAAAAAGATGATCTTTGTAAAAAAACAAAAGAAATAAAATATCAAATAACACAATTAAAGAATTTCTTAGTAGAAAATCGGGCAGCTTATATCCAGTTTGCATGTCATTTGAAGCGTTCTGCTCAGGTCAGTAGTCTTCACTTAAAATCATTCTAATGTTCTCACATAATCCAGTAATGTTAATTTTAGATGACAAATGAAGAACGAGATTTGATTGATCGAGAAGCTGAAAAGATAATTAGTGTATGTACGCAATTTATCTGCGAGCTTAAGCTGGATTATGGTGCAAAACAATTGACTAAACAGCAGCGATTTCATGTTGAAGCTGTCTTTGAGTTGCTTGCTAATTACTTAAAAGCTGTGTATAATATATTTAATGATCAGAAGAATTATAGGATAAGACGGGATCTTGAGACATATAAATTCCTAAAACTGGATTCTGAGAGACGACATGATGATTTGGATATGAGTAAAGTGGAATATAAAGAAGACATGCTTAGTGATAAAGAAGAAGATCCATTGTTACCAAAAGATGATGAAATTAACGTTAAAGCAGTCAAGAGGAAACCTGAATCATCTCCACGAAAAATCATTGATTCAGAGATGACAACAAGTATCCAGTCAATCGAGGACGATGCAAATACAAGCAATCAGCAACAAAATGACCAAAATTTTGGTCTTAGTGCTGAAGATCTTCAAATGTTGGAGATAGAAAATAAGCAACTCATTAGTGAGTTTAAAGGCCTTAATGAGGAAGTACAGCAAATTGAGCGACATGTTCACGATATTGCGAAATTACAGGAACTTTTTACTGAAAAGGTAAGATTTAAATTGGGTATTTAAGATTGATAATGCACACAAATTACTTGTTGTAGGTTGTAAGTCAATCAACGGATATAGATAGAATTGCAAATACAGTTGTTGGTGCTACAGAAAATGTTCGTGAAGCGAACGAGCAAATTAAGGAAGCTATTCAACGAAATGCTGGTCTTAGAGTTTACGTACTATTCTTTCTTTTGGTCATGTCATTTTCATTGTTATTTTTAGATTGGTATAATGACTGATTTAATTAAAAAAAATTGTGCATTTTCTATTACAGTGAAAGCTTTAAACTTTTATTTTCTCATATTTTGATTGCCAGATTAACAATGTATACAGCATATAGCATAAAATTTCCAGGGAATGAAACAAATAGTTTTTATGAGGAATGTCCAATTAAAAATGCTTTTTTTCTAAAAAAAATTGTAAAAAAAAATGGGAATGAATTTATAATTTCATGATTTCTTGTGCAGCAGCAACGATATGACGTGAGCTAATTCCAAACATGTCAATCAAAACAGTTGGTGGACCTGAACGTGGAACTTCTGGTACAAATAAGTGCTTGACAACAATATTTCTTTGATCAGAGACCACTGACAATACAGCTTCGCCTAATCCTCCTTCACGATAATGATCTTCAGCCACAACAATTCGTCCACCACATTCTTTTGCATTTGCAATGATTCCATCACGATCTAAAGGCTTAACTGTGAATGGATCTAAAACACGAGCATTAATTCCAAGTCCTTCTAATTCCTTGGCAGCCTTTAAGCCTTCATATAAAGTAACACATGATCCAATAATTAAGAGCTGATCATTTGCTGAGTGCTTAACCACTTTAGACTTTCCAATAACGAATTTCTCATCACTTGAGTAAATTACTTCCGTATTTGGTCTTGATGTACGAATATAACAAACTCCTTTAGTGTTCGCGGCAAGTTCTACGGCCCGTTCAGTACTAACTGCATCACTTGGATAGAAAACAGTCGAACCAGGAATTGTTCTGAATAAGGCAATATCTTCTAAGCCCATCTGACTTGGTCCATCTTCTCCAATACTAACACCACAATGTGATCCGCAAAAGTTAACATTTGTTTGACTAATTGCACCCATTCTGATTTGATCAAATGCACGAGTAAAGAATGTCGCGAAAGTCGATACAAATGCGACGGTGCGGTCACGGCAAGCAGCTCCAATTGCGACTCCAACGAGATTCTGTTCAGCAATAAAACATTCAATATAACGTTCTGGATAAACTTTCTTCAACTTTTCAGAAAATGTTGAATTCTTTGTATCACCATCCAAGGCAATAACACGATCATTTGAGGCTGCGATCTTTGCCAAAGCAGTTCCGTAAGCTAAACGTGTTGCAACTTGTTCCCCTAATTTATAGCTTGGGTCAGATGATAATGTGATATTTGAGATTGAAACTTTTGGTGCTAAATCGATTGGAGATGATGGTGAAAGATTCAAAGCACCTTTATTCTTAATCAAACTGCTCAAATAGTCAATGACTTCCTTAGAATTGTCACCGAGTGGCTTTCCATGCCAATTTTCAAGATCTTCAATATTTGGGAAGAATTTTCCTTTAAACGTCTTTGCAATGATGGCTGTTGGACGTCCTTTTGTCTGTTCAGCTTCAAAAAATGCACGACACAACTCCTCAATATCATGTCCATCAACAACAATTGCATTAAATCCAAATGCATCTAAACGTTTGCGATAAACTTCCATTGAATGCTGTAAACTTGTTGGTTCCGATTGTCCGAGACGATTGACATCAAAAATGACACACAAATTGTCCAATTTGTAATGCCCAGCAAAGTGTAAAGATTCCCAAATTGAACCTTCAGCGGATTCTCCATCACCGACAAGAACATAAGTTCTATAGCTTGCCTTATCGTAATTCTTTCCAACATAAGCCATACCGGCTCCAATTGATAATCCTTGACCCAAAGATCCAGTTCCAACATCAATAAAATTCAAACGTGGTGTTGGATGTCCTTCCAAATCGGAGTCAATTTTACGTAAATTCTGCAAGTCACTAATTGGAAATAGACCAGCCTCAGCCCATGCTGCATACAAAATTGGAGCTGCATGTCCTTTTGATAAGACAAATCGATCGGATGATTCATCACGTGGAGCTGACAATTTATAACGCATAGTATTGAAGAACAAAACCGAAAGTACTTCTGCGATAGAAGCACATGACGTAGGATGTCTATAAAATAAATAAAATGAAAGGCTTTAATGATCATTCTGCTTACTTAACACAAAAAAAAAAAACTTATAAGATTCAGTTCTATTCACAGTGAATACATTCAAGGTCATGAAAGAGCGTCAATTCTAAAGGTACAGTATGAAGGTCACGAAAGGTCAAGTGTAATGCTTAGTTTGTTGCATTTTGTAATCTACAAGCCGCAACATTGTCGCTTTATTTTAGATTTGATTAACAGAAATTGTGGGTTGGGAACCGTTCATAAATGACTTTGATTAAATACTTGAATTTTCATTAAACCCCAATCATTTATTGACACAAAAGATTAAGCATTACATAAAGTCAGACTTTCCTTAAAAGTAAGACATCATTTACGAACGACTCCCATACTTATCGGGATAGATGGGAAAGTTTGCCTCAAAGACTTGTTATAATAATAAGATACTTGGATGCTAATTATGTATGCTTTATAAAAAGAATCGTCGGTGAAAAAAAAAATACAGTTATGTACTGTCAGCATAAAATGCAGTTTTTATGCTACAGAAACACGAGATCATAAGTAATATCCACTTAGTGATAATGTTCATGTCTAAAATGGCAAGTAAACAAATTCTTAATGCATTGCAATACGCGACGAAAAAAAGTGAGTGTCAACGAATTTGCATTATTTAAGGTTAGACTTGAAATGTAAATTGTTCATTAACATTTAATTCATTACTCGTACGTAATTCAACTATGCCCACTTCTTATCAATTCCATTGTTTTATAAATAAATTGTCTTCCTATCTGATTCTACTTGATCATCAATTTTTACTTCAAGATCCAGTAACTATAATCATGTTTTATGCTGTTTATGCATTAATAAGTCATTGACATTCGCAGCATAATCAGTATTTATCAATTACAAGTGACTTGATAGAATAAAATCAAAAAACCGGTTCCCATAATAATGATAATGCAAGAACTTACCCAGATTTGGATGCTTGAGTTGATGTGATTGAGTGGATACGTAAGCGATGAGCAATATCTCTCAATTCTTGTATTTTAGCAGCTTCTGGCTTACGGTACATAATGAAATTTTTTTTTGTCTAAAAACACACTAAAAATGCAAACAGAAATCAAGAAGAACCTCACACTTTGACGTTTGGTGCACGAATAAATATTTGCTCGAGTTTTCGAAACTTTACAAACTTCACCGACATGATTTTTGGTCGACAATTTGAATTTTGAAGACGTTATTTGAAACTTGATTTTGATAGCTTGATGAAGATTCAAGTATGAATTTTGGGTTTTTTCTAGAGCTTTTGATCCTTTTAAATTCAATTCAAACTTTGTTATAGATCATTTAAATTACATGTCAACGATTTATGGTACAGCCTGTCAGAAAGTGTTAGCACCCATCAAAAAAATTCAAAATCGAGCGCTGAGAAGTGTATTAAATATAGACTTTCTAGAAAATAAAGAAACCAGAAACCAGAACTGCCTTCCTGTATGTGTGATTAATTATGTCAACTCAGCTACCTTCATATACAATAATCTGGCACACAAGATCAAATCTAATATCGTGTTTGAATGTATCACATCCAGCAGTAAAACGAGGAAGGATGATAAACTTATTAAACTGCTTTCGAGAACAAACTTAATTTAAGCAAAGTTAATGTTTAAACTGTTTATAATGGTTTTTCCTTTGCAAAGTAAAGAAGAGATTAAACCTTGATTTCCAGCTTGTAAATACTAGTCAAAGAAAGGATATTCAGCAGAAATTCACAGGATGTAATATAAAACAGATATTGATTTTTTTAATAAATTTTTCATAATAACAAACATAATTTTACATACTTTTCGTAAGGAAGTAACATTAATAATCGTCCTTAGTTGCAGATATTCAAATTTTGGAGGAGCTTCTGCTCGATTCCAGTCAATTGCTCAACAAAAGCATTAAAAATTTCATTTCGACTAAAGTTTGTGAGGAAGTTTGTAAGCGAGACTTCTGTGTCTTCTTGGAATATTGGATCGTGCATCAGGTCTTGTAATAACTGATCATCTTCGGTTGTCTCTTCTAGAAATTAAAATAAAGATGGATGTTAAGAAACATCAATTAAATATCAAGCATCAAACTTACCATCATCAAACAACATAAAAGCATTCAAATTCTTTCCAGTTCCATCATCCAAAACATTATTTTCAGAATCACTATCGTCATCATCATCACTTTGTGTCGTATTATTCAAGGCATTCTTAATTTCTCTCAAATTAGTAAGTTCATTAATTAACAATTTGAAGATTTTAACCATAATAGGAACTGTGATGACTTGCTGATTATTTACCGTTTGTGATCTAGTACGGACTTTGTTATTAACGGATGGAACTTCAACAACATCTTTAAGCATGACATTAACTAAACGCTGATCTTGTGTATTAATTCCATACTCGAATATTTTACATAATGCCATGACACTGACTTTTCTCTCGTAAGTTCCATAGAATAAATGCTGACGACTAAGCCAGTTTGAGAATACAAAATTCATGGCTGGTTCGCCAGAAGGTCCTTAAAATAATTAAAAAAAAAAGATTATTTGAATTTGAAAATTAAAGTTAAAAACTAAATCAAAGTTAATTGATATTTACCTGGAATTGAGCTAAGGAAGTTCATGACAGCATCAATTTGAATAAGGAACAAGTGGGCAAAAATCATAATTAATGACATGATAACATGCAAGCTTTCAACAAGTTGCATTTTACTTAATGCAGCCTTCAATAATAAATCAATCTTTTCTCCTAAAAAGTTTCCAGCCTTTGTAATGAGTGTAATGACTAGTCGTCCAACAAAAGTAGCTGAGGATTCTGTAGAAGTTGGATTTAACAAGACTGTAAGAACATCCAGAATTGAGGATAGACCTTTGCCATTTTGGAAGGTACAAACTTGCTCTGCAGCTACATATAAGAATGCTCTAAGGCACTCTCCACCTGATTGCAATACTGAATGATCTTCTGATCGTAAAATAGAATTAACTGCGGCGGGAAAGGCTTGCTCAATTAATTGAACACTTAATGGAGCTTTTGAATATTTAACAATAGTTTCAAGAACATCAAGTGCTATATCCTGCATCGGTGCATTTACTTGTTCGCCTTGTAGATTTAAAATTTTAATTAATGTTGGCACAACTTTTTCTTGTAAAGGAATTAAGCAGTATGGATTTTGTGACCATATTTTGAGGATATCCAAGACATGTTCAAGAATATAGCGATCATCATGATATTTTAGGAATAAAGCTTGAATCAAAGGAATGACTCTTGGTGCCGTTGATGCTGTAAAATTGGAATCAAATGCTAACAATTCACTTAAAGATTCCAAACTTAATCCCATCAATGTACTTTGAGATATTGGAATTATCTGTAAAATGCCGTCCAAGAAGTTTCCTAATTTGCTGACCATGAATTCCTTTCTTTCTGGATTTGTTTCCTTTAAATTAGTACAAAACTCATAAGTTGAACGAATAGCATAAACTTTGAGCGTTAATGGCTTATCATTTTCATAGCATGCAAGTGTTGTATTTACTGCATCATTTAAATGAATTATTCCTTGATCTGTAGCTATGAATTTTGATATTGTGAATAAACAGCGACCAAGTAAAAATGGTGAATCATAACATCCCATTAAGCCTTTCAATAAATTCAAATATTCCATCAAATTAAATTGTTCTGGACATGCTAGAATCAGTTCCTTAAATTCTGTATTTCCAAATGCAAGCATTGCAGCCTCGTGTGGTTTCCACCACGAAATTTTTCCACTATTCCGTTCTATATCCGATACATTTAAATGCTTTCTAATAGAATCAGTTAATCCAGCTGCAAAGTCTTTTTCAAATTCCTCTCCAAGCCTCATAAGGATATCCTTTCCGGACGATCGAATAGAATAATCAACGCCTGAATTATCTTCATCCTCAATGAACTGTTCAACATCTTCAGACCACAAAAGTATTTGTTCATCAGTTATCTGCATGTATAGAATTAAGACATAGACAAGATCATTGATAACATCCTTAATTGTTCCTTTAAACTTCTTATTTTCAACAATCGAGTGAATTAACTCAAAAACTTGCAGGATCATCTTAATAAAATTATTCTTTTCGTCCTCATCGCCTCCGAAAGCATCAATGTCACTTTCATTTACGATCGACTTGATGTAAATGTCAGCCATTTGTGTAAGAAGTGACCAAATTGAAGGCAATAAGTTTTGCATATAAGGCTGAATATATTTTGGCATTTCGGATATCATATAAGTAAAGATCTTTAAGCTTTCTGTTTTAAGCTGGAAATTACTACTATTGCTGTTTGGAGTTAATAATCCAGCCATTAATTTTTCTAAGAAAGCTGGAAGAATTGGATTAAAGATTGTTCCTTGTTCCTTTTGGTCAATATGCATATTAGCACATTTAAGGATTGAATTGAGGATTTCAACAGATGATGTCCTTGTTTTAAGGGTAAATTGTGCTTCCGAAGTATATATACGATAAATTTCAGATAAAATTATTGGACCAACAGTTTTGACTCGTTCTTCTAATTCGTATGTAAATTCCACAAGCACCTGAATTGCTCCATGAACAGAATCTTCGTTTCCAGCGAGACATGCTACAATAATATCAAATAGTTCAATCCAGTCGTCGACACTTGCAATAGCACTAATAGTATAGGCGACTGTATTACGGATTTTCGAGTTTGTGCAATATAATCCTTTTGGAAGAATAGCCTTAATTGCATGCTTTACATTATCACTAGCTACAAGTTGAGTATGATCATCGTTGTCTGGATCTAGTAATTTAAATGTCTGAATGTTGGTTCTTTTAATAAACAATCAATTTTAATGACTTTACCTGGACTCCAATGGTCATCGACATACTTTTTCAAAAGCACTGATGCTAATTGTCGTAATCCAGGATCAAGAGATTCATCCAGTGTGATTTCAGCTAAATAAATTCCATAGTCTGAAAAAATAAACAAAGAAAATTGAAAAATAATTTTTGAAATAAAATTTCACATGGCAAATTTTACTTTCAGTGAATTTTAGATGATTTAAACGCTCCTCATTCTTTTGTCCTGGTTCCTTTAAGATAATATTCAGTTCGTCAAAGATTGCTTGCTTTATTGCATCGTTCATCTTGATGATTCCCTTCAAATAAGCTTATTTAATATTTTTCTGTGCAAAAGCCGGGAAATGTGGTAGATTTTTTTTGTAGATCAAATTTTCAAATTTTTTTTCAACGTATTTTTTACCACGTTTTTCTAATGTAGGCTTGCAAGTTGGGAATTGGACTGAAGCTTTGTCGACTAGAAACTCAATGGTAAAATATGAATTTTTAAAGTTAAAACTGGCTTCAGCAATCACAAACTGTGTGTAAGTATTGTTAAGACTGGTTTTGACACTGAATTCAAAATGATTAACTGGATGTAAGCTCGATATTCATGAGTGCCTGATCAAAAAGGGAGGTTCAGAAAATTTTAGATTCTTTTCATCAGAAAGTTTATTTCTGTTGACAAACATATAATTATTCCTTTAAGACACATTTGATTGAAGAATCATATGCTCTCGTCCGTAAATACATAATATGAATCCATAATCCCGAACGAACAAAATTCTATGAAAAGCATCAATAGCAATTAATTAAAACTAGTTCAAACCATAATTCTAAGAATTGATATCAATGAAAGCGACACAAAAACACTTAAAGACACTACAACACAATAAAGCTGTAACTAAATGTGTCAAACAATTGAATGATGGAAGATTAAACACTATTTTCTGCACTTCTTATTGATACCATTGAATAGATGGAGAAACTGATGTAAAGATTAATGCTGTAATTCTCAACGAGGCATTAAATCAAGCTTCTAACTGTTCAGACCGAGATGAAATCTGCTTAGTGGTATATCCTTAATGGTGAACGATATTTTTAAGCTGCTTTAATTCGTTCCATAGAATATTGACGCACTCATAAAGACGAAGAAAACTTACTTCCGTTCTTTAGAATTGGCATGGGTGTGTATTTTGGTGTATATGTGAAATAAATATATTGTACAATAAGTATCGTACAGTTCAGTTGATTAATTTCCATCTTCTTCTTTATTGCCTAAGATACTTTTCCATCTCTTTCCCTTATGTCTACTTTTACAACCACCGCACGATTTTCCCATATGCTGTGATAAAAAATAATATAAAGATGAAAAGATGATGATGAAGAAGGAAAAAAAAAGAGTAGAAGGAAATAAACTAGTAGCGATAAAAAAAGGAGGAAAGAATACCGAACAAGTTTGAATACGACGTGTAATTGGGAAATGATGATGACGATAATCTTGAAAATTGAGAAGTAGATAATAGTACTACAATAGATTCATTTTAGCACACACATTTATGAGGATGGAAAGGATTTTTTGCTTCAAGAATTATCGCTTCATTTTTGTAGGCATTAAATTTATGTCTGTATTCATATTGTCATGTTTTATGAACAAAGTATTTTGCTCTCGTCAAAACTTTCTCCTTGGACTTGCACAATGTCATTACATCAAACTGTAAATATTTAGAGGTACAATTTTATATGAGTATGAGTAGTTTTTCTTAAGTAAGTTTGTGACAATGCGTACACACTAAGGAAACTTCCGGAAGTTTTTTTAAAAATGAATAAGACTTCGGGAAGTTTTTGTTTTCAGCATTTTAATGCACAGGATATGATATAATAATGCGACTGAAGTGTAAATATTGATAATTACATGCTTAGTATTGGTTTTATTTCTTTATTTGGAGTTTGTAAAGGAATTTAAGTCTTTTCTTATCTTGGGAATCTTTAGGAAGCTTTCGGAAGTTTTCAGAAGTTTCTCAAAATTACTTACGGATGTCTCCTAATTGTGTATGCCTTTGTTTGTGATAATTTAAATCAAAGATTTTGGCAAAGAACTATTCTAAAACTATTTCAATTCCCAATCTTTTGTTTCTCAATTTGGTTAAGATTTCTCCAACAATATCTAATATTCGACTCCAAATGCGTTTCACTCAACTATGATTTTAGTATTAAGAGCATAATAACTTAACTTCTTTCAGAAGTAAGCTTCCATAGATCGCATTGATAACTAGTGATGTGATTATTACAGAAATGAAGGTATAACTAGTATGAATGCAAATATCGTATAAAGGATGGAGAAAAACTTCCATTGCCTTTTATAACATATCGAGACAATATATCATTAGTGAGAAAGTATCACTCGAATAGAATTGTTGCATTTTCAAAAAGCCTTCAACTTTTCCATAGACACAAATGTACTTCAGGACTTTCTGGTATTCATTTTTTAAAAAAGAAAATAGAAAAAGTTTCTATGCTTGCTAATGAAGACATAAGACATGAATCATAATTGTATGTTGAAAAGTAGAGAATAAGAACTGAAAATGGAAAAAAATAAAGAATAAAAAAATAGAGAGAAAGGATGAATGAATCACTTGAACTTTTCACCATATGCAACACTCCGAAAAATAATTTGTTATATACATTCACATTTAAATTAAAATTGCTTCCTTGTTTCTGCTTTATGTTGTTGCTTTCTTCCTGAGCTCTTTATTATGTTATGTGAAATGTTTAGCATAATATGCATAAATGAAAAATGTCACGATGGGAAGTCTTCAAACTATGGTGGAATTGTATAATTCTTTCATTGGATGTTGGTATGAAATAAACACAGCTGCAGTTATAAGAAGATTTCAGTCGTAATTTATGGCATTATTATCAGAAACAAACATGATATTCAGTTGGCATCTAAGAAGGAAGAGAGAGGAACAAAAAATATTTTAAGATGATTTTCATTTGTCTTTTTGTTCCCCTTTTACATCCATGAAGAGAGCAGATCTCAAACTACCAAGTATATGTCGCACTGTTTAATGTTTGCATGGGAATAGAGGGAGATTTTACAGAGTTGGAAGCTTACAGGGGGAAATGTTTTTAACGCATTTTTGAAAACTTGTATTAGGAAAAGGAGCTCAATAATGCACTTTGTTCGTTCGTTCGGGCCAAGAAAAACTTTTTAACCAGACACAGTAGAAAGCTCGGGTTTGTTTTATTAGCTCCGTTACTATCGATTTATCGACCCATCGAATGGTAAAAATTCTTCAAACCATGTATTTATGCTATAATTGATGATTTTTTTTATTTCGTAAATCAAAACCACGTGATGAGTACGTTTAAAAATTTGAACTTTTTCTACAGCTTTAAAAATTCCTCAGGGTATGTTCAGAAATTCAAATTTATATCTCCTGTTAAAAAATTTGAATCTCAAAGCATATCTTTCAATCTTTTTCATGATCCAGCGATCCCATCAAAAAACCATCTCTGCTACAAAACAGAACCAATTTTTTTTCCACAAAAACTTTTTTCCCAGCTTGAAGCTGAAAAAGCAATAAGATTTTTGCCTTTATTTTCCCCAAAAAATACATGAAAATTTAAATACTAAACTTTATTACACAAAAATTATGCAAAATAAAATGAAAAGCAAGAAGTTTTTGGTTTTTTGGTTGCTGAGTGGTGTGAGAGGCATGACATATTGCATATTTTATTTGCCATACTCCAGACATTCACCCATTTTCTCCCTATGCTGTATGTATGGTGCCTTTTCATCGCATTATTAATTTAATTTTGCTCGTAATTTATTACATTATAAATGAATTGTCTGTGCTGAAAAAAGGAGATAATGATGAAATTATTGTTTTGTAACAAATTTGCTGAATTAAAATGAAATTATATTCACGTTCAAATGTTACCTGTTAGGTAGGTGCTTATACATATTCAAAAAATTTGTAACATTATTCAAAATATGCATTTTATGCTCAACAGCATGTGTGTGAGGGGAAAATTTTTTAATTACAATTATGCTGCATATCTTCCTTTGCACGCTTTCTGTACGTACTAATTTTTAACATTTTAATTAGTTTGAAAACTATAACAACTCCCGTCTTCAACATGAATAAGTTTTTCGCACATCATAAAATGTTCATGCATACACATTTAATTAAGATAGATACATACACTTTGACTATGTAATTGACCGAGAAAATTTATGCAAAGGAACTTTCTTTAAAATGTGTGAGTTTATTGATGGACCAGACTGATAGCATGTTATCGAGCAGTTACCATAAAGACTGTATGTTCAATACGCAATTGATGGTCTCTTAATTGATTCTCATAAAATAAAATAACAAAACTTAGTGCTTTTATGTCTGTATTAATCTGCATTATTGATGTTTTGCAAATTGTTATTGAATGAAGATTTTAAGTCGTGTAGGAGTGCATCAAGTTACATTTAGTTCTGTTTTGATTAGGATCTAAAAATATTCAAGTATTGTCATCATCAGACTTTTAATCCTTAGACTTATTCTGTAATAAAATTGTATTTTAAGCTTTCTGTGTGACTGGAGATAATCTTGCTAAGCTGCAATATATTTAACCAAGGCGTGGAAACTCAGGATTAATCCTGAAAAATTCCAAAAATCCTTAAAAAATCTCTGAGCCAATAAACATGGAAATGTGAAATTCCTGATGCATTTAATGAATAACTTCGGGATTTAAAAGGGATTTCACATTTCCATGTTTATTGGCTCAGGGATTTTCGGGATTTTTTCAGGATTAATCCTGAGTTTCCACGCTTTGTAATTAACTGAGTTGGTTTGATCTGAAAATAACAATTTATTCTATAAATAAATGCGTTATAAACATTCAGATAATAGTTGTGCTTGCATGTTTTAAACTCCTTTCATTTACATTTGTTGCATTTCAAATATCATGTTCGCATTAAATTGCTCCTGATTATTTCGTAATGTTTCATTTCTAATTACAATTAACATTGGAAAAGTTTTAATTATCACGGAAAAAAAAATAAATTCATTTAATTTAATTATGGAATCAAAATTAACACAAGATCAACTTGATGAGTTGAAATCTTCATTTGCAATTTATGATTTAGACGGTGATGGAAAGATAACAATGCGAGAATTGGGATCAGTAATGAGAGCACTAGGACATAATCCAACCGAAGCAGAAATTTTAACAATCATCAATTCAGTCGATACAGATCAAAGTGGATCGATTGATTTTCAAGAGTTTTGCAAGTTGATGTCAACAAAGATGAGAGAAATGGATACAGAAGAAGATATAATTGATGCCTTTAGGGTATTTGATGTTGAAGGTAAAGGCCACATTACAGCGTACGATTTGCGTCATGTAATGACAAATCTCGGTGAGAAATTAACAGATGAGGAAGTGAATGCAATGATTTCTGAAGCTGACAGTGATGGTGATGGAGTAATTAACTATTCTGATTTCGTTAAAATCATGACATCGAAATAAATTTTGCGTAAATTATTTGATTAATTTGAATCGTTTTTTTTCCTTCTCAATCTTGTGAGACTCTATGTCTATCCTAACCTCGTCCTTCGATAATGATAACGTATCAATACAATCATTACTTATTGATATGAAATATTGCTATTCAATATCAGCAAATGTATAATTTGCTACATTCGCCAAGTCATCAATTTCCGTCAATTGCTTTTCAGACACTCAACTAAATAGTAATGATATACCAGTATATGACAAATGAATAATCGACCCATAATACCTATAATTACATAATGATCATTGTCTCCCTTATATTTCTTTCATCCGTTCCTATAGCTCGTATACAATTCACAATCATTAATCTCAACGAAAGAAACTTTATTGGACATTTTATTCACCCTACTCTCTATCTCACTCTCTTTCTCTGTTTTCTAACATTTTTCCCGTCTACTATATATCTTAACAGTTTTATCATGTGATGGACAAAAATGTAGATGTACATTATTCTTTTTGCTGTGTATATCTCTCCATTATTTTAGCTCATTTTATTGGGAATGGGAAGCTTAATAATACAATTTGTTATGGTGTGGAGCTGGCTGGTTGAGTGAAGGATAAGAAAGAAGTAGACTAGGTGCTACTTCATTTAATATGAATCAAAGGATGATTAGTGTAAAAAATAGCTACTTCTTTAGCAAAACCTTTCAAAATAAAGAAAAACTATCTCTTTAAAAAAGATCTAGGTGTGTAACCGACTAGATGCTATTTAGTTCTTGGATTCCTAATTGATGTTGAGGCGAAAAGTCATTGTTCAGCTTAAGAATTAAAGGATTGCCTCATGCTATGGACACGTCGAAAAACCCGTTATTTTTTGATTTCAATTTCAAAAAACCGTTAAATTTTCATGAATATTTCTTGCAAAAACAAGGTTTGAACAAACGATTCTTATTCTTAGCTTCTTGTTTTGCTCAGTTTAGCTAAAATCAAATTATTAGAACTTAAATATTAATGCTTCAAATCCTAAAATTGACCGATTTTTAACGGTTTTAAAATATTCAAACGCTAGGTCGAGTAAATTCGAACAAGTCGACTTTTTTCGACACTGAAATGTTGAACCGTTACCTGCAAAATAAAGTTTAAGGTTTAAAAAATTGTAAATTATACCAAGAAAAAAATGAGGTTTCGAATTTTTCGAAATTCGTTATTTAACATCAATTTTTGAAAAAAAAACCGGTAAATTTTCAAAACTCAATTTTTGATTACATTCATGCGCTCAAGTCACTTCAATCATTAACATGAGAATGTCTTTAATTTTTCAGCCAAAAAAGGAGCAAGAATAAAATATCTAGTATAAAAATAAACAACCTGAAGAAGTTTTTGTTTGAAAACAATTTATCTTTTTTTTTTTGGCAAGATACATTTGGCATTATACATTTTTATTGTAAGTATGTCTTAATGGAAGCTTATTTTTTTTTATTGTTTCGCAATATAACTTTGTCATCTATCCAATTGGTGAAGGGAAGACGTAAACGTAAGAAATTTTCTAAAGTTTTTTTTCTCTCGTTCCGTTTTTTATGAGAAATTATTTCTTAAGAAATCGCAATTTCAAGTGTTGTCATCATTCATCATCACAAATAATTAAAAACTTTTTTTCTTGCTAGTTTTTTTTCTCCTTCTTATTCTTTTATTTTCGCATCACTATGATGTACTTTCAATCGTGTTTTTAAAAAAATAGCTCTTTTATTGAAAAACTTTTTTTTTGTTTTGAAGCTTTAAACTTTTTTTTCTTTCTGTTTCTCAGCTTTTCTTTTACATGCTCATTGGACTGAAGAACTACTTATTGGCTATATCATTTATGAACATCTTTCCTTTTTCACAATGATGTTTTTTTTCCTCTCGCATTAAATCACATTGGTTCCATTAAATATTGTGATATGGTCGAAATTCAGCTTTTATTAGATGGGTTAAGTACGTGTGATGCTGACGAGGAAATGGAAAGGATTTTGAGCAATTTAAAATTAGCCTACTGATGATGAATTAACATATATCTTATGATTTAACTCAATTAGCTTCAAAAGATATAAACCAGACATTAATATCGATTCAACTTAATGTTGTCTTTTGGACAAACTTAATAAGCTAATCTCGATCTCATACACTCATAGAAAAAAAGTAACCATAATATTTGTTATATGTTTGTTAAACTAGTTTAACAAATTATTGGTTAAGTTTACATGGGTAAAAAAAATTTCAACCAAACTATTTGTTAAAAATTTTACAATTGAGTTTGTTAAATCAACAAATTTATTTGTTAATAATTGATTTAATTAAATTTTAATTTTTGTATTCAAAACTCTTGTTTGATTAATTTCAAACGATTCCCATTAATTTATTGCGTTATTTTTAATGAGAAAACTGCTTTAAATTGAATTTTGTTGATTTTGTTTAACAAATTAATTTGTTAATTTTAACAAAACATTTGTTACAATGTTTTTATTTGTAATTTGTTTTGGAAAATAATGATTTACAAACCAAATCGTAATTTAAAAATTAAATTTGTTCATTTTTTTAAGTCCTACATTTCTATTTTATTATTCATAAATTAATTTTAAAATTTGGATATATTTTTTAAAGAATTATTTATATTGGTTCTGAATCAAATTTTATAAGTAAAAGTTTACAAGCAGCGGACTAGCGGATCATCAACAGGAATTCAGAAGTTAAGCAACCACGGAAACATTTTAAAATAAGATGGGTGACCAAATTAACAATTTTCTGGTTAATATTAACCGAAAATTTGTTATTTTTTTCTGTAAAAAAAAAATTTAACAAAAAGTTTGTTAAATTAACAATTTTTATAGTTAACAATTCAACCTTACAAATAATTTGGTTAAATTTAACAAATAAGTTCGTAAACACTATTTTAACGAATTGTTTGTTAACATTTTCCATACAAGTTACAAACATTTTGTTACTTTTTTTCTATGAGTGTAAGAACTAATTGTTAAGTATTCATAATTAAACGTTAAACTCTACCTAACCTTGATCAAGGAAACTTACAACTTGAGGTTGGCAAATGGGCAAGTTGTGGCTTTAAAAGAATCAAAATTTTGGTAGGAAATGATCGGTTGGAATTTCCTATAAAAACCTTTTCTAATTCAAATATTTCGCTATCATGTTGTTTTCCCCTCGATTTATAAAGTATCGTAGAAATATTATCAACTTCAAAATCTAAAACAATTTGGAAAGATTTTCATCATTCCTGGATGTTTTTGAAATAATCCAATACCTTCGGACAAATACGTTACGCTCGGTATTTGAATTAGTTCTAAAATAAGAGCCATTAGAACTCCTTATTTAAGAACTTGATGTCAGTTAAAATTTTAAAAATAAATTGATGTTTTTTGCACTTTTTAATTGATAAAGCTTCTTTTAACTACTTTATATGCAAAGCTAAGGTCAAAAACTATAAGAAGATTGAAAGTAGAACAAGTAAAACCTAGTCAAAAGACTTAATTTTTCCAAAGCTTAAATTTTGTAAATACAATCATTCAGATTCGAATAAAATGTTCAAAAATTCAAAATTATCATGTTAATTAAACTTTATCTTTTAAATGCCAGAATAAAGATCTTAACTTACGGCATATCCTATGAAAATATCTCGTCTCAATTTAATGTCTAACTCCAGAAATCTTTAATTTATTCTCACCAAAAATTTGTTTAAAATTTGTATATGAAAAAAAATCTTTGATTTTCTATACTTTAGGTTGTTATTTCGATATCCTGCTAGCTTTTGCAAGCTAAGTTAAGCTCAGACTTGCCTATTAAAACAACCAAATCAACAGAAAACTGCATATTAAGTCTTAAAAATACAATTGAAATCTGAGTATTTTTACATAACTTCAACTATTCATAAGTTAAAAAGTCTTCTAAAGTCCTCTCTGAAACCTATATAAACCAATTGAACAAGCTTAAATCTATCTCCCATATTGATATGATCATGTCGTTTGATGCCGTTTTCGAGATATTTGCGTTCAAAGTCTACATAAAATTTCATACAAAAAGATTTGAATCGATTTGAAAATTCAAATTTTGTGCTTTTTCAAAAGCTTATTTAACGGATAAAAGCGTTATTTAAAGGTATTGGGAAATAATCATATAATTTTGTGACAAATTTAGGCTGATATCAGCAACGCCTATCACATTACTAGTTTAACAAAGAAAACAAGAACTCCATTAACAAAATATCATCGATTTCTTGCCAGAAATAACAAATAATATCCCACTATGGATATGCTTAACGGAAGAGGAGGAAAAGAAAGCTTAAATATAGAGATATAAAAACATATTCTAGTATTTTAAGCACAATACAATGATTTGAAAAGAAAGGCTTTCAGGACAACAAAAAATAAACATTTCTTCCTAATATCCGGCAAAAAAAAAAAAAATAAGAATTAGAAAGAATAGAAAAATTCGCAATAATGTCGACAAAATGAATTGACAATGACTTGAAATTTTTTCTTCTGCCCCACTTTCTTCACTTTGTTTCTTGTACTTTTTTTTTTATTATTGTCAGAAACATATTTATGATGGGCACTTAACATGAGAATGGCGACAAAGCATTTATGTTTATGACAGCTGCTTCTACTGTTAGTTGCACATTACTCATTTTTCATAGATGAATGAACCGTCGTTGATTAGCAATTGCTGCAATAGAAATTGATACCACAATTTTGATATAATCGAATTTGACAGCTTAATTGCAAAACTTGTCATTTTATTTTCATGAAAATATTTGTTCATGCTGGATGGAAATGGAGTGGATTGAGTAAGTGAATCGTGGCAACAAAAGAGATGAAATCTATATGAAGAATGAGATAAGACGTAAGGATATAACTTTTTATAATTTATGGCAGCCTTTTAAGTTGCATTAAAAGATTTTTTTAATAGTTGTTCTTTCCACTATCTCTGTCATCTATTTCAATTCTTTCTACACGAAGTCTTTTACGGTTGAATGACT